TATTACTCAATTCAAAACAACAGAAAAAAATGATAGGTCACCATACTCGTTTGCGAGAAAATGACGATTTACCTCTATGGCGAGGACCAGCTGTAAAGAAAAAGCCGTCATTTCTTTAATGCGCGCGCGCTAATCACGCGTGAAATTATGCGCAGTAGGGATGCGCAATGCAATACTGGGGAATAACCTTAAACAGGGTCAATTTTTGTCTCCACTTCACAACGAATGAACACACAGCTGATGGACAAATAAGTTTATTTGGGAAGGGCCTGGCAAGAACAACCCAAACAAGCTCAAACCCATGATGCACCGGCCTGGAGCCCAGGCCGCGTTATGTTCCGTGCCGGCAAAATAGTTATTTCGGCCTTCTTCGCAAGCTCATTCGCCAGAAATAACATATTTTCTCAGCTTCCTTGTAAAAATAATCGCATAATAGCGTGGATGAAACTCTTCTTGAACGAAAAGCTAAGGAATGAAGGAATCCAGAGCCTTACAAAACGTTATAGTAACTGAAAATATGGAGCTGAGAAAAAAATTGTTTTTTGATTATTAAACCATCACATACCATGCAAACATATCCAGAATTAACCACCACTTCACTACGACCTGAATTGCCTGAAGGAGAATACTACACATCTGTGTAAGTACGCATCTTCGTGCATGCGGAAACAAGGGATGGATAGCAGGATTCAACAGAATTAACAATTATTCCACGAGCGCGCGTCGGATATGAGATGATAGATCGCCAGAGGCGCGCACTAGCACGACTGGAATAACTGTTAGTTTTAAAAACGCCCCCAACATATCGAGAACTAAAGCAAATAAAAATAAAAACGCCACCACCACAAATAACGCGTACGCTTACCAAATTTTCAGAGCTAAGCCAATGATTGATCCAGTTTTTAATAATCACCATTAACAATAGAACAATGACGGCAGTAAGGATATCTTTCAGTACCATTTCTGGAAACCTCGAGTCAATTCAACAGATAAAAATCCTCACGTAAGTGTTCCTTGTAGAAACTTTCACTTTTCATTTCGTTGAGAATTCGGCAAAGATTCACTAATTGCTGTCATCCTATTAACAATACGAGAGCAACAGATTACCGTATCGGGAGCATCCCTACCAAGCATTCGAACGGCTTCCAATTCGAAATTAGAAATCAGGCTAGTACTTAGCTCTCTTTTACGCCAGCCCTTCCACTAGACTGTATGTTGCTTAGCAACGTCTTGATGGCAAAAGGGGGCTCTAACAAGACGAATGGAGTTGATTTTCTTTTCGGAGAACAGAGATAACCAGATGAAAGAGTACACTGTAACTAGCTACTGCAGAAACACTGATTATATAAATTCACTGAAACTTGACAAAACGTACCACGCTGCAACACTGAAGAAAAAAATCCTTATGAACGTGTCATCCCTCCCCACATAAAGAACTAGATTGTATTGTTTCGTTTTCATTCATTCATTCATTAGATTTTTCTTGAAGCCTATAAGCCCATAACGTAAAAACGGTTGAGGAAATAGTCAATGACGGAAGCAAAAGGAAGTCACTTTGTTACAAATAGAGCGAGTTGCTTTTATCTTTCCGTGAAACACAACGATTAGAATAGCTCAGACATATCGCCGTGCAAAGGACGAAATTTCTTCGCTGACCTTGGATGACTGGATCACAGTTTGGTGTCTAAATAAGATTAACAAAGTAAGGGAGACAAACGTACAAACAACGCACTGCCGAGAGTGATTAATAATAAGGGCGCTTTGCAGGCCCTGGAAATGGGACCGGCGGTGGCCCAGGTCTTTTCAGAGGAAAGCGCATTCGTTCACTTTCAAAGTCTCCTACGGAGTGACGCCTTCTACCCGGCGGCCCGTAACCGTGCAATCTATCAAATTCAGGGGGGGCTTCTCGGAATCCTTCGTAAGTCCTAGGCGACCTTCCTGGGTTTTCGAATGAAGTCCACATGGAAGGATCGTCCTCGCGAAAGTCCGCTCGTTTGGGGTCACCACGAGGTGATACTGGCGGTCCTCTCCAGTCAGGAGGAGGAGGGCCCGGATGATCATGGGGAAAGTCCCACGGTCCTCTTCGATGATCAAAGAAAGGTTCCCTCCGGTGTTCTTCCCAACGCTCAAACTCTCTTCTCCGCTGTACATCATCCATCACTCCAGGATAAGAAGCACGGTGAGGCGGAGGGCCGTCACCTCTAGGAACTTGTTCATGAGGTGATTGTCGAGGATCAGGCTGGTGAATCGGAGCTCCTTCAACTGGGGGTCTTTTTATCCCTGGTGGGCCATCAACGAAAGCCTCCTCGTTATTACGAGGCTTCCCCGCATGTACGTCTTCCAATGGCATGTCAGGGGGATTGGTGGGGGCTGTTGTTTCAATATAATGATGCTCCGGATGAACATTTGAAGTGTCTGGAGGCCTTCGAAGAGGACCATCTCTGAAAGCACCTCTAGGGGAATGACCGCGGGATGGCTGTTCAGGAGGTATCCGCCTAGGCATCTCCGGCGGACCTTCACGTCGTTCAACCGGTGGACCAGCATTATCTCTGGACTGTTGGAAATGAGGACCATGAGCATCTTGGAAAGGTAATCTAGGCCCAAATGGTGGCATTCCACGGGGTGACATGTCCAATGGTCGGTCAAAAGGCCGCTCCTGGGGGAACCGAGGAGAACCTCCTCTAACAGGAGGACCTTGGAAATGGGTTCCTGGACGGGGGAGAGGGCTTGGTGGTGTTGCCGCAGGTGTGCCGTCACTAACATTTATCCTGTTACCTTGTTGCTGATTATGTCTCGGTCCTGGCTCTGTGTCATTCCTTTCATTTTCCACTAGCCGTCCCATAGGTCTCTCCTCTGAGAAGATTGAGGTCGGGTCTGCTCTTACAGGACCCTGGTGTGGCGCATTAGTCACGGGAGCGTGGTTCATGGAATGCCTTTCAAATGCGCCATCATTTGGTCGAAATGCTTGGGATGTCTGACTAGGTACGAGGACTTCATCATCAGATTTTGCTCCCCTTTTCAAAATGCTCTTAAGTCCTGACTGTGGAAAATCTGGTTGCTCACTAGCCACATTGGAAGGATGTGGGAAATGACTTTCACTGGGTAATGGCTGGGCAGGTAAACTTGTGGCAATGACTGGAGAATTGAATTGCGATGAATTAACAACTTTTTCCTTCTCTTTCAATGTTTTTATGGAGTCACTCAGCTTTGGGAATAATGAATCAATCAAGGACAGAAGAGGTTTACTTTGTGGCTTTTCAGAATTCTGTTGCGGGGCTACCGGAGCAGCAATAGAGGAAGGAACTGGAGCAGTGATGGGGACAGACTTTGTATCGGCATCATTTGGTTGTTGCAGTTTCCTTCCTCTACTTAGTAACTGAGCCAAAATGTCTACAGCACTGACTTTCTGTCCATTGTCCTTTTTCACCAAAGCACTATCCTGCCCTGTAGCTTGGTCAGGAATGGAAGGTGTGCTGCTGGAAGATGACGGCGATTCAGATGAAGTTTTGGACACTGATTGTGTTCCGGAAAAGCCAGGTACTAGACTGGTTGTTGGGTTTTTCACCGGATTTTCAAAAAATGACTTGTTTGTCTGAAAACCAGTATTGCCATTTACATTCACATCACCGAGGGGAGCTGGAGTCGTTTCTGGTGTCTCGTCGCCTTCCGCCAAATGTAGCTCGGGGGACCCTACTGGAGATGGGGCAGACGCCTCTGAATCTGGCGATCCAACATCAAGAGCAACTTGTGGACGACTTGCATTATCTTTCATTATGTCAGTTACTGCCGCAGAGTTAGTTATGACCTGAACAGGGGCTGGAACAGTAGCTGCAGCAACTGGCAGTGGCGCTTGGCTGTGTACGAAACCATTACCAAGTGGAAATTGTTGCAAAGTTCCCATGCTGCCTGGCAGGGGTGCATTTGAACTGGGAAGTAACCCTGCTGCTCTTGGTATTGGTGAAAAAGGTTGCCCTTGGCCTGTCATTTGCCCAGGACCAGGTAAAGTTCCTGATGGCTGTAATAACTGATTCTGAGCCATTCCAGGGAGAGGCTGTATTGGAGGAACTCCAGGTCTGAATTGCGGTGCATGTGCTGGAAAACGGACACCTTGTACTCCCATGAACGGATGAGTTACCATTCTAACTGGTGGACGAGGAGGGACAACTTGAGGCTGACTGGGCAATATGGAGCCTTGCATTGGCATCATGGTCCCCAGATTTGGAGTTAGAGGTCGAGCAGGGGCTACACTGGGAACAGGAGAAATCACCGGAGTAATGTCAAGCTCTTGAGTCATTGACTGTGTTGGTTGGGAATCAGAACTTCCTGTGGAGTTGGGAGTTTGATCATTGCTACTCTTGGGATCCTCAGCACTTGCCTCCTCACTTGTCTCTGACTTCTCACTGTCTGAATCATCCTCGATGTCCATATCAGCAACTTCAATGTTGTCCACAGTTGGATCAACAGCTTTAGCCTCATCTGAAGTAGCTTGTTGCGCTTGTGTTGGAGTTGATGGTGCTGATCCTTCTGCGACATCAGGAAGACCTGATGTGAGGAATGAAGCTTGCGGTGCTGACACAGGCCCAGTTTTTGCTTTCTCTGCTTCCTTCTGCGCAAGCCTGTTCACCTTGCCGTCAACCTTTTTCTTTAGGGAAGTAAGGCGATTCCCAAAGGTCTTGTAAGCCTATGAATGCACAAAAAGACAACACACTATTAGTTCCTTACAACAAAGAAACATCTTGCAAATAAACCTCTACTGTCTGTTTCCTGACTTACGGTCAGCATGCAAAGAACAGTCACCGTTGATAGCCCAGGACTAGCAGATTTTGCAAAAAGTGGCTGTTGTAGAAAGGTTGCCGTTAGTGGTTCGACTGTAGCTTTACAAATATATCAAGACACGTTTTGGTCAGGAGACAGACACAAGCAAATACATATGACACAGAACACACAGTGAGTGCTAGAGCTGTTCTATTAGGTAATTCTTCAGTGAATCCACTAAAGAGAAAAAGATCTCATGTCACAATGTATGGAGCACCATAAAGACTAAAAGATCAGCCACATCACTTTCTTTTTTAGCACTACAGTTACATGTACAGCCTGTGAATGCAGACATATTTCCAGCTGCCACTTGGTAACGCTGAACCAAGTGACGGCCGGAAGAAATATGTGTTTGTTTGCAGGCTAGTACATGTAAGATTGGTAAGCACATAAGCACTAATTAGTCATTGATTTTGCATGCTAACAGTGGGCTTTGCTGCTGTATATTGACCTTCTAAAATTCAGGGTATGGCTTGTCTGCAAGCATTCACAGTATACCCAGAAAGTAGGCTGCCTTCCCTTCAGACAGACATGAACAAAAGCCCTGTGACATAGCACTTACATGAACTATCACTTTCACTTCTCCATATGAAACATCACAGAAAGCCTCCCCATCTTCCAGAACTTTGATCATGTTTCTCCTCTCTTCCTGTTCACGCCTCAATGTTTCCAAAAACTCTTCAAGCGTGGCAGTAGCCAATTCATACTCTTCACAAAATTTCCCACCACCAGTGCGATCTAACAAGAACAGATGGAAAACATACATTATTAAAGTTAAGTTTGTTTACAAATTATTAGTTTTAATTTGCGATACCAACAAAGCCATTTTAATAGTCCTGTGGTAATAGATAACACTTAATTAAGGCCCCTCCACACTGACGTATTTGCATTTGAAAATGCATACTCTTTGATGCATTTCTGCCTATCATTCACACTAAAATGCCCAAAAACACTGATGAAAATGGAGACTTTCAAAAACAGTTTTAAAAGTGGAGTCTTTGGAAAATGTATCATTTTGAAAACACTGTTTCTAGGGTAGACAGGTGATGAAAAAAGAGTCATATACTGTTGCTTCCATCAACGTTTTCGGGGCTTTTAGTGTGGACAATCAGCAAAAATGCATCAAAATGTATGAGATTTCCAATAAAACTGCACTACTGTGAAAACAAAGTGAAAAAGCTGCTGTGGACAACAATGTTTTGCTTCATTTTCGTTGAGAAGAAAAATGATACTTTTAAAAATGCAACCCAAATTGAAGCCCAAGTAGTTGGTGGGAGAAGTCAGTATTTAGGACAAAATGTCTTGCCATAGAAACAACCCAAGGACCTTGGCCAGCACTTGAACATATACTGCTCATTCTGGAATCCACATATATATGTGATAGCCATTATCTGGTAATGAGACAGAGGTTTCACAACTCCTTTTAGCTTCAATGTATCCCAAGGTGACCCCTTTTAACTTCTTCTTTTTTATTTTTTACTTTTTTACTTCTACAAATTTGTCTTGCACACAACTGGAGCCATGCCAGGAAGAACAAATAAACAATGAACTGGACAGGCATAAATGCAAGTAAATACAACTACATAATTCAACAAACCTTTTAACTGACGTACACTTTCCAAATCTGATGCATCGATCCTCAATGAATTCAGCTGAGATTCCTTAAGGGTTAGCTCCCCTTCAAAATCCCTCAAGGCTTTCAGTGCATCTATCAGTTTTGATGGCTAAAAAAACAGAAAACAGAAACTCGAGGCATTACTGTCTAGAATGTAAAAAAAATAAACAAAACAAAGCTTCTTTCTAATAGACTCAAGAAACAAAGAGTTCAGAAAACTTTTGAATTTTAAAAATGCCCTCCAGATCACTCTTGAAGATAAAGCAAAATTGTTGCATTATAACCACCTATAGGATAACACAGTAAGTCTTAAAGATATTAAAAATTACAACTGATGCATAGCAAATTATCTTAAGTTATTCTTATTTCAGTTTTTGATAATTGACCTGGATCACTAACATCTGGAAAAGTAACACTCAGCTGTTACTTATCTGTTACTCATCTGTTACTTCCATATTCAATTTAAAAATCCCTTCTAAATATATGCTATTGATTAAATTTAACAGGTACCCAGTTCTAACAGGATCTAAAAAATATACCTTAAAATCTGCTGGGGGTAACCTCTTTTGCTTGGCTGGTTTTACTTCCTTCTCCTTTTCTTTCTCCTTCTCTTTTTCAATGGGCTTTTCCTTTGGTTTCTTGATTATAACTGCGACATCACCTGAGGCTATAACATATGAAAAACCAACATAAGTCTCACACAACACATGACTGACAGATAATTGCACTCAAACAGGTTTCCCTAACAAGTGTCTCTAATAATGATTTGTTCTATTTCATTGTGTGGCCAAACGACATGCTTCCTTTCCAACTCGTCATGATTTGATTAGTTTTATTCCAATTGTACATACACTATTTAAATAGTTGTCTTGTCATTGGTCAAACTTCTCATTCCCACATTGACAGAACTAAAATATTTAATATGTCAAAACATCTTCTAGTATCCCTCAGGCTTGTAGTTTGAGATTATTCAAACCCAAAACAGAAGTCCAAACACTATAAACAGAAAACCTTTCCACAAAGGCACAAACCTGAAATAATCAAAATTCTTACTAATCATGGGTTAGCTTAATCGGACTTTGAACAACCCAGCCCAGGTCACTACTACTACAATTATAAAGTTTGAGTCCTTCCTCATATCAGCAATACATAGCAACAAGGTAACAATGTGGGCCAATACCGTAAAATGCCGAGAAAAAGCCCTGGGCTACTATTTTTGGAGGCTTGTTTTCCAGAAGATTTATTATGAAGTGTTGAGGGGATCTAATTATCAGAAGGAATTTTGCATCTCAAAAATGTTTGGGCAATAATAGGAAGGCCGGATGATGCATGTGAAAAATTAAAGTTGTGCACAAGAATACCACATAATAAAGCCCTCTAAGCATAGCAACATAAAACACAAAACAAGTTCTACAGTCATTCCAAAGGATCTTAGCATACTCTACACAGTAAGAACATAAAATGTACACAATGTTTTCTTTACTGGAGGACAATACCAACAACGAGATGTTATAACTCTCTTAGAGATTTAAGGTGACTCCATTGGGTAATCACTGTATTGCACACCTTAGTGATGTTTTGAAAGCTACAGTGGAAACCCACATTATGGCCACCTTGTTAATACTATCGCCTCGTTATCACTGCCACTTTTTCATGTCCCAGCGAAATGCCCATACAAATTCTTATAAGAAAACCCTGTTAATGCAGCCACCCTGTTAATAAGGCCAATGGCCACATTCTAACATCCCAACCTGTATAATCCTTTATAATTTTACCCTGTTTGCACGGCCACTCGATTCAGGTATGTTCATCTTTCCATCGTTAATATTTCATACACTGATTCAAGTTTCAGTTTTATTTAAATTATATCCACATTCCTGATGCTAAGTAAAAAACAGTTGTTTAGAGGTACAATATTATTATGATATATCTGTTAAGACAGATATATCAATTTTGACCAGTCACAAGGTTTGATCCTACCCTGTTAATACGGCCAATTAGCAATTGGTTGAGAATGAAAACTATGTAGCAGTCCTGGGACATCCAGAAAATGCCTTGAACTTCGATTGTTTATGAAACTGAAGATGATAAAAGGTTTTCGAGGCTTCTCCAAGAGAAATTCAACTTGAAATGATGTGTAGTGACAGGATTTTTCCAGATAAAGCGCTAATTGTTTACTTTGTTAAAATTGTGCTGCTTTTCATGAGTTATGCGATTTTTTGTAAATTGTGTGATCAGATTCGATTTGAGGTTGATTGTGTGAAATCATATCATCTTGTTATATCAGAAGGTCTGTTCATACATGTCTTTAAATTTTTTGGTCTTACAGAACCCCCCAAGCCCCAGTAAATTCCAATCCCTTCTGTATGATAGTATGGATATTTCTGGAACTGCACAATTTTAAGGCAAAAAAGTAGGGGTTGTAGTAGCAGTTTCTTCATCATTTTCAAATTTATGTCCTTTTCCTTTGCACAAAAACTAGTTGGACAGATCTTCAAAAAAAAAACAGTGCCAAGTAAAGTAAAATAGTCATAAACAGTCTGCTAAATTTTATGGATTTTCCCTGATGGAAACAAGATAAAACTCACTGTTGCTTTTGCATTTTGTGTTCATGTTGACATCATAACATAGCAGAAAACCCCAATGTTTTTTGTGTGGATTTTTAAGGTCATGTGTGGTATGTTCCTGTTACCCAGTGCACATACTTTTTACAAAACTATAGACTATAGGTAGCCACCTTTCAATCTTGATGAAAGTGGCTTATATTTAGGGGGACGGGGTGGGTAACAGGGTAACATGTTATTGCTACAATTTTTTTGTCTGTGATTTGAGAGAGTATTTTCCATGGGACTACTACTACTACTACTACTACTACTACTTTCATGGGACTTGCTATCACAATTTTTAAGGTATGTTGAAGACAGTTTCAAGCCCAGTATGAGGCCAATAATTCAGGCAGGTCATTGGCTACTTCTGAGGTTGATAATAGTATGTGATTATTATTCCTTGTTGACACTGATATGCATATGAAAAGCTACCAATAAATTCAATCTAACAAATCACCATACCAAGTTTACTGCGGAGCGCCTCAAGGTAATCCTTTTCAAATAACTTCCTCTCTTCCCAAATCTTGATGACTCTTTCCACGTTTCCTTTGATGGTTTTCTCGCTGAAAGCAAAATTAAGAACTCATTTGAGATACTGGTTGATCTTTCAAGGCACGTGAACTGGTCGGGCAAACAAACGATTGACACAAACCTGAGAAGCTGCATAGCATCTCGCAGGATTTTGGTAAAAGCATTGCTGAATTCCTTCCCTTTTTTACGGCTATTCTGAAGAACATCGTTCGCCAAGTAAAACAGGACCAGCCGTCGATCGGCCTTTGAAGCTGAAAAGACAAAAATGTTTTACAGTCGATCCAAAGGGCAGCTGGCCGGAGAATCCGAAATTTCATCAATCAGGTAGGTTTTAATTTTAAAACCCGACACCCGATCGACAATTTTGAAATTCGTTAGCTCGATTGAAGTAAACATCAAAGTTTAGCTCTACCTTTCTTAAGCTGGTCCAACCACACAACCACCATATCTTCAGCATGCTTTTTGTGATGAATCATCCACAGCGAAACTGTTTGCACACTGTCTTGTGCGGACGACATATTTTGCAGCTTGCGTTCAAACGCTTTCCGATTGAGGAGCGCCATGTTGCTCCTGCTCAAAATGCTTGCCTCTTTCGCATGCGCTCAAACGAAATCCACTGACAAAGTTACTCGCGAAGGGACCTTCCAAAGTAGAGTACAAAGAGCTGTGCAGCAAAGATGTACCTCGTCACCAGGATGTTCTCCGTCAAAGTGCATGAAACAAAAATCGAATTTCCAGTCGGAGTCTATATAATTCTTGACCTTTCTTGGTATGGTTTGTTTGTTTTACAATTTCTAAATGTGCAAGGTTTTAGATCAGGTTTTAGTAGACTTCTTGGACGGAGACATGTCGTCAAAACGAGGCTTCCGCGCCTCACGTGAAACCGACATGACATCGACGTGACTGGGACTGGATCGTAAACAAAGATGGCGGACGGCAGCAAGGCGGAATGTTTGAATGCGGATCACTCCATCCCAGAGAGTAAGGTAAAATCCTTTGATCCAACTGAATATCAGCACACTAGATACAATCCTCTTCGCGGAGACTGGATTCTTGTTTCCCCTCATCGAATGAAAAGACCGTGGAAAGGGCAAGTTGAAAAGCCACAAGAACAAGAAATTCCACGCTGGGACCCCAAGAACCCGTTATGTCCGAGAACAGTTCGTGCTAGTGGGAAGGTAAGGATTCATACACTAACTCGTTAAGATTATATTTTATGACAAAAGTTTCAGTTTCAGGGCGAAACTGTGGCTTTTTAGGTGACTGATGTCCCTTCCCCCACTGCCATTATAGTCATTTTTTTTCTTTTTTTCCTCTATTTTTTTAACATTCAAAGCACCACGAAATACCACTTTTAAACCACATGGACGTCCAAGTTTCCCATTTCAATGCTAAATTCTTTAATTACTATCAATTATTATTATTTTTTCTCTCTATTTCTGGTATCATAAAAAGTCATAAACAATGGTCACATGAAAGGGTCTACTGTGGTACATTATGCTAGTTGAGACAGAATACAGTAATTTGCACCTGGTCTCAACTTGGCTCAGTAAATTTAACATACAAATTCGACAGCCATTTTATAATATTTATGGTTTATTTTTGATGATTTTATAAAGGAAAATCCTGATTATGAAAGTACATATGTGTTTGAGAATGACTTCCCTGCCCTGTTACAAGAAGAAGCACCTTTACCAGGTACAGCATGAAATAACATAGTATTTATCACTTATCTCCTGGTGGCCAAATTCTAAAATATTATGACACCATAACGTTAAGAGAACAGGAAAAGAAAGATGGAGGAATGTGGAAAGTGAATTTTATATTGACAGAGTTATTTTTTAATAAAATAGAAATTCTCAATTGAGGTAAATTTGTACTCAAAACAGGGACACCTTAAGCCCAATAGAAAGTTTGAATTATCATTAAATCCTGCCTAAAACCATGAGATAGAATCTAATTATTTCTAAGGCAAGATTAGATACAAGTTTATTGGGTAAAATAATATGCTTAGCTAAAAGAGTGAGCTACCACAGCCCAAACTTAAAGGGTCAAGGACTGCAGCAGCTCACAGGTAGTTAACAGTCCTCATTGCAAAATCAACCAAGAAAGAATTGATCAGATCACTTAAAAATAATCTCTGTTATTATATGGCAAGGTAACCTTGAAGTAAACCCAAGTGTTCTGATTGGTTCTTTCTTGGTTGAGATTTTGCAATGTGGACCATTCGGTCATAAGCTGTGTATTTTTCATTTTAAAAATCCTGCATATTCAAAATTTGTGATTTCCATGGAGTGCTACAATATAATAAACTACTTAACTGGGGAATATTGGCCCTCTGTAATTTGTGTACAGACCATGCTGTACTCAGTTCGTACTGCACCAACCTCAGTCCTGTATTCCTCAGTGTGGCCCTTATGCTCGGTTAGTAAGAGGTTAATCTATTTTCAGGTCCCTCTGGTCATCCTTTGCTGAAATGTGAACCAGCTCAAGGAACATGGTAGGTAACAAATGAAAAGGCACGAGGCTGTGAATTTTTTCTCCAAACTTAGAGGATTAGAGATACTTACATGTTCATGCAAAATAAATATTTTTAGTGACCTAAATTTGATTTCTGTTGTTGTCCTTTTTTAGCCGAGTGATGTGTTTTCATCCATGGTCTGATGTCACTCTTCCTCTTATGTCCACTGATGAAATCTTGGAAGTCATAAGAGAATGGATTCGACAGTATCAGGATTTAAGTAAAACATACCGTTGGATTCAGGTAATAATCAGTTGTAGAATTTTAGTAATCTTTGCTAAAATACTACTAAACTACATATTAATATTAAATATTAAATTTCACAATAGCAATGATAGCTATAATGCCAGAAACACTGACAGCATAGACAATAGCAATGTTGTGGTTAATTTTTGATCTCAGTTAATTTACATTTCAACCATATGTGGCTCATTTTCTTCTAGTTAGTAATTTTTTTTTTACAATAATATCCCTTGTCAATAATGTTATCATTGACTGAGGATAAATTGAAAAAAAACTAACTTGAAGAAAGCAAACCACATATAGTTAACTACAACAGTAACTATAAGAAATATTATTATGATGTAAAGGTGTGAATGATCATTGCAGTAACAGTAAACGTAGATTACATGCTTTCTTTTGTTTTCTCATAGTTAGTAGTACTAAGTATGGTTTTCTCGTTCAGTTTTTTACATCATACGGCACTAAATTTTGATCACCTCTTTTAAACGGTCTACCTCTATTAAGCGGTCACCTGGCTATTTCCCGAGGGTGACCACTTAAGAGAGGTTTGACCGTAACAAATATTTTAATTTTCAGTTCTAGGAGATTTGAATCTTATTTTGCCTCAAAAATTAACTTCCAACTTCAGAGTGACTGTAAATACATGCACTAATTTTCAGACTGAATGATGCCATCCAACAGGCTCCCATTGTTAAAAGGAATATGTAATTATATGAATGCCAGATCTATCACTATCCAGTGGATGGTATGGTGTGCTTTGTTAACACTTATCCAGTGGACAGCAACTTACATGCCATATAGCATTTTCCATACGTTGGACAACTATGCTCAGATTAATCTCTATTCATTGGATAAGAGTTGATAAAAACCATCTGTAGACACTATATATCTTTTGAACAACCTGTTTGTGAATTTGAAATGAAGGCTTCTGACCACTTAAATAATATTTTAGATTTTTGAGAATAAAGGTGCTGTCATGGGATGTTCAAATCCTCACCCACATTGTCAAGTAAGTCATTAGAGTATGTTTTTAGGAGACATTCCAATAATGGGAATTCAATTATTGAAACCTCATGTTCTTCTCTAGTGACTTTAACGTAAAACTGAAAACAAAACAATCGGTATCATCTCATTTAGTCCAGTGAACCTATCAGAACTTGAGACAAACCAGTGAGAAAAATTGTGAATGTGTTATATATTACCTATATTGTGTGACGAAAGTGTGATTAAAAAGCTCTTTCTCAAGCATCTTTCTTACATCAATTCACTAGAAATTGAAGTAGCTGTGAAAATTAAGATCATTTAGTGTCATTTCCTAAAAGTACACCATTCATTAAACTGCTTTTGTCAGACATAAAAGCTGCGCAACCCAGTGGCTGATAAAACATACTTGTCTTTATTGAATGATAAAACCATGTGATGTTTGATTATTTCAGAACTGATAGCAAATCTAGCATTATGATATTATGGACTGACTTACTTTAATTTGTTACTTGTAACATTCAATTAAAACTGCTTTTTTTTACAAATTCCAATCCAATACTGACTTTGTCACAATTGTACTGTCTCTTACTATATAATGTTTCATTTGTTTAAGATCTGGGCAAGTTCCTTTCTACCAAATGAAGTGGCTGCAGAGGTACAGTTGGTACTTTTGCAGGTGTCTATATACATGCATGTGCTTAATAAATGAGAAAGAAGTTAGACCATTACATCTGCTGTTTGAGATTCGTGCAATTCAGTACTGTAGAATTGCAATTCAGTACCATACTGTTGCAATTCAGTACTGTATAGTTGCAATTCAGTAATGTATTGTTGCAATTCAGTACTGTATAGTTCCAATTCAGTACTATACAGTTGCAACTCAGTACTATACAGTTGCAATTCAGTACTATACAGTTGCAATTCAGTACCATACAGTTACAATTCAGTACTGTATAGTTGCAATTCAGTACTATACAGTTGCAATTCAGTACCATATAGTTGCAATTCAGTACTATACAGTTGCAATTCAGTACCATACAGTTGCAATTCAGTACTAAACAGTTGCAATTCAGTACCATACAGTTGTAGCAAGGAAGCTCACAGCCAACTGGCCATTTTTGCATTAATTTTTATAAGTGATCTAAATTTATGTTTATATGTATGGTAGGATCGTACTCAACGGGAATATCTAAATGAACAGAAAGTGCCAATGCTGGTACAATATGCAAGACTGGAGGCAGAACAGAAGGTAAATGTTTAATGCATTGCTGATGCTAAAAATATGTTTGATAGGGGGTTCATCGTCACTTTGCTACTAATGTAGACCAGATGCTTTTAGTCCAGTTGAAAGTTCAGTCTGGGCCTCTCAATTTGGCATGACAATTTCAATGATTACAGCCTAACACCTCTAATAAATAACTGCTCTCCACAAGGGCCAGGATTTTTTGTCCTGAACAAATACCCATCAACAACTTTTATTACAAAATAGTCCAAAGAAAATATGTGCACTGACTGGTTGAAAATCGTGTTTCTATTTAACAATTAGATTATGAGCTCAAAATTTCTATTGCGTGCTGGTTGACAAGGGTGCGGCCTGAGACAATTATCACACAATCGAGAGTGAATAATCTAATTGTTTTAGAAAAAATCTAGTAGTTGTTCAAAACTTTAACCTAACTCCTCTTCAAAGACACTTCGAAAACACAAAGAAGCCGCCTCCAGCACATGCTGCNTCTGGAACCACACATTCCTTATTAGGTTTTCATTGATAAAGTGACTTGCTTTTCAGGTTCGCATTGTTGTGGAAAATAAAGACTGGATTGTAGTGGTACCTTACTGGTATGTAGCAGTTGTCTAGCTATCAAAGTTGCCACAAGCTGAGAAGATTTGCCAAATCCTAATTGACGTACCATCCCCCACTTATGGTCCTCAGAGATGAAATTATTTTATTGTCAAGATTTTGGATGCAAATTTCTCAAGTGCTTTTTCTATTGATTTGTGCTGTTTAGTGCAAATTTGAGTGTTAAGTTGTGTAAAAGATCTATCAACAACAGACAATAACATATATTCAAAAAACAGGCATCATTATCTAATTAACAATTATTCCACAAGCACGTGTTGGATATGAGATGTTAGATACAAGGATCCATATTGTTTTTTTCTCCAAGTTGTCAGCTGGGCAAGTATGCGAGATGACATACTTGCCCTGGCAATATTTTACTTGCCTGTTCAATAGGAAAGAATTGCAATAGAACAACATGTAAATAGAAAGTTTACTTTTTTAGTATTTTCACGTGACCAGTCTCGCAGAACATCATGTCCATAGTTGCAGCAGTTGATGTTGTTGAGTCGGTGGACACAGAAAATCCAGGTCCAAATGAAAACCAAGGCTTTTTCAACCGGCATGAAGGCTGAAAAGATCGCTTTTGCTCTTCCAGCTCGTATTTTGATTGTTTTTCCGAATTGTTAACATTACTAAACACCATATCCTGATTAAAACAGCTGATGTGATCATGTTATGTGTGTCCGCAAATGCAGATGCAGTGCAGAGCATCAGCAGTTGAAATGAAAATTGGAAAATATGGCATCATCCAAGATGGCGGAACAAAATGATGATTTTCATTGCAAAAGAAAGCTGCAAATCTTAGAATCCAGGGAACCCATAAGAAAATTTAAGAAATGTTTTATTTTTTGGTTAAGTCAAACTAAACTCATCCAGCTGACGACTTTTCATATTGTTTTGGTCATCCGTATGATTTTTTAGTCGTCTCGAACGACCGGAAGACTGCGAATATGGAACCCTGTTAGATATCCAACAAGGAGCGTAGTGCCAATTTGGCTATGATCATGTCATATCCAATCAATGTGAGTGGAAATGCCCCAAAAGAATAGAGACATAAAATAAAATAAAAATAAGATCGCCCCCAAAAATTAGGTGTACGCATACCATATTTGTGGAGCATGGTATCATGGCTCATATACCATGGTGGCTAAGCCAATGAAAAGTCTTGAATTGCATTATGTAATGATCCAGTTTTTAACAAATTATAACAACTTATTAGACAATGGATGTTGGTACACCCTACAAGAAGTCCATTCCCCCGTGAATGGCATGGTACACCTCACGCTTACCAGGGTGCAAAGCAATACACAATATTTCTTCCTTTCACAATATAATTAGTAATAACTTTATTCCTGTTATTTTCTTATAGGGCAACTTGGCCTTATGAAGTTCTGCTCCTTCCAAGAAGACATGTCATGAAATTATCAGATCTTACAGAAGAAGAGCAAAAATGTAACATTTATTTTCTACTCTTTGATGTGATATTCAATGGTCTGGTGGAGACTGAAACTTCAAACAATATTCCATAAATTATCGTGCTCAATACTAGTTAAAGAAAGACTTCATGAGAAATCGAACATTATTGACAGAAGATATTTATGAAAGCAAAAAATGCACTCCCCCCTTCTCCTGTTCAAATTTTGGTGGAGAAGCTACCATTCTAAGCAATATGTTATAAAGATCAAGATAGCATTGATAAGGGGGAGGGGGTCACAAACCATCTTTGACAACAAGCTGTCACATGTAAAAACCAGAATGATGTTTCTTGAGAGTTTTTTCCAGGCCGGGTTGTAATAATAATAATTTATTGTGAATTACATTTACTTTAGTTGTATACTGACCCTGACCCTTTCTTGCAGATCTTGCTGACATCATGAAGAGATTTCTCACAAAATATGACAACTTGTTTGAAGTTTCATTTCCTTACTCTATGGGCTGGCATGGTAGGTGAACCACACACGTACACTAAATGACCTGCAGTTTTAAGGACAGTCAAGTTGGACCAATAGAGACCTTAAGATCGAGGTTTGGCAACCTTACCACAAACGGCAAGCCACAATTTGTGGTTAGCGGTTTCATGTTAGCCGTCTGCCCACGTTTGGGACTTAAGATTCGAGGGTTTACGGTTAATTCAATGGCTGCCATGTTTGTTTTCATTTGTTCGTTCACTTCTGTTTTAGCTGAGAAATCGTCTTCAAAATTTTGTTTCTATGAAAAAGAATTCAATAGTTAATAAGCAAAATAGTTTTTAAAAGTAGAATTTTTCCTCAAACATGGGATTGTTATGTTTTAGGGTGCAAAAAACCTTGAAGTAAATCACTTACCTCTAGAACCTGGTCTAGCCGCACTGACATTCGCAGTTCGCGGGAAATGCTGAAAAACCTCGAACTTAAGGTCTCTATTAATAAATATGTATTTACCTGTTGAGGGTGTCATTTTATGGGTTAATGATAGTAACTAGGAATTAAACTTTTACAAAACAGAAAAAAAGAGAATTTGCATGTGTGTAAAGCTTTTTGGGGATTTGAGAAACACTTTAGAAACAAGAAGAAACCTTATCTCACGGTGCCTACTACTGGGGACAAAACAATGATGAGAAGCTATCATTGTCCTCAGTAACTATCCCACAAATGACTACAAAGTGTTTCCTCTAATTTCTATAGTGACAAACTTAGGTTCTATTTCCAACAATTTGCCAGACTTGATAAATGACCATGTAATTTCAACAGTTGACTCCACAGTAAAGATATGTCCATACATATGCCAGTGACCCAAACCACCAGTCAGAGTTTACCTCTGTTTCTTATGGGAATGTGGCTACATTTAGTACACCACCCTTACTTGTTCTACTGTACAATGAGCATATTCAAAAAAGTCTGATCTCCAAATTAATGTCTTAAAACTTTGTGTCCATTTTTGAATGGCAGATTTTTATCATTTTTGTGTTAAAATTAGGTTAATTTGTCCTTTACAGGGGCACCTACAGGTAAACAGGATACAGACTGTAGGTGAGACTTCTCAGTACCAGCAGGTTACTCTATAAAATGTAGCAGATGAACTCTCTGTTCAAGCCTAGTGCTCCATCAGGTTGGCATGAATCTCTGGTCTCTATCACATTAAGTGGTTCAGAGCATTCATACACTCCCTGGATGGGATGCTAGTCCATTGCAGGTTTACCTTGAGTGTGTCATTTGCTGTTGCCCATTTGTAAACTTGGGTACAGATACTCTGTGAGAGTAAAGAACACAATGTAATGGTCACAGCCAGGGCTTGTAATGACCCCAGCTGGTGCTTGAACTGAGACCTTTTGATCTAGAGGCCAGTGCACTTGTCTAACTTTTTGCTAGTCACACTGCTGCATTCTGACTGAAGTCTTCATGCCTAATGGCTTTCAGCCTATTTGTTGGCATCCAAAGAAAGGGGGAAGATCCTCCAAGCATGTGCATGCATTAGTTAATTGAAGTGGAACTAAATCTGTTTTTATCTCTTGGCAGTCACTGGCACTTACATGCTCATTACTATCCTCCCTTACTTCGTTCTGCCTCGGTAAGATCCTCTGATTACTTTAAAATGGAAGGAAACCTCAAAATAATTTATAGCTTTCTGGAATAGAAAAACACCGAAGAATCAATAACAGTATTGTAAAATAAATATTTAGGATGCAACCTGGAAAGAAAGTTGTGTCCAATTTTTCAGTCAGGCTAGTGGATTATCTCCATTGCTTGCCCGACAGGCAAGTCAAGTTTTTTTTATAGGAAAATTTCTGACGAAATTCTAATTAAAGAAATACTGTAAGAGATGAAATTATTATAAGTATTAATGGTAATTATTGCTTATTAGATTGGGAAAATTACTTCATTACATGTATTTGTGATTGTCTGAGAGCATGTCAATTTGTCATTAAAAATTGTTAATTTGCATTGCAGTGCACGTGAATGTATGCTCATTCGTAATTTTCTCAGTCGTATAATGAGTCATCATATGAAAGCTCACGCAATTAAGGATTTATACCACTTGTGATATTTGAAAATTCCTTCAACTTACACTTGCTGAAAGGCTCATACTATTTTGAGAGAATTTTCAAATCTGACTTCTTAGTATACATCCTTAATAAGAAGCTCTTGAAAGTGTCAAATAGTTAGCGTAAACTAGATATTTTCGGCTTAGCTCCTCTTTCGTAAGACTGGGTAATACGTGTAGTTATTTTTAGTTATTATAATTTTTTTCAGGTGAAGAAATTCATGGTTGGTTATGAAATGTTAGCTCAGTGCCAAAGAGACTTGACAGCAGAACAGGTACATTAATCATTGTAAGCTAGCTGTCTATTGGGCAAAATTACTTGGTAACCAGAAATGACACCCCAAAACAACAATGGCTTTTTGACATTACTTGCTGGTTCCTGTGGTGGAATATAGATACACTGCTTGTGGGCTGTTTTCTCCCAAAAATCAGGAAGGGAGTGAAGAACAAAGGTTTAGGACGAGAAGGATTTGGACAAGACAAGAAAACACAAAGAGAAAAACTGACTTTCTTATCTTAACCCAAACTTCTCCTGTCCGTGCTGCCTTTTTTGCATTCACACATGGGGATAAACCCTTCTTGGACCCTAACAGAAAAGGCTGTCCACAAGCAGTCTAGAATTAAAAAAAAACATCTAAGAAACAAAGTATAGCATCACGACCAGACATGTGAATGTGGACAGCGAGAGGTCTCTGTTACTGGGAATTTTACTTATGATTTTATATGCTGTGGTTAGGCAAATTTCTCCATGTTCCCATGGACTCCTCTGTGGTTCTAGTTTGTGACTAGTGTCAAATGTGGTTACCGCTGATAGGAAAATAAGTCCATGAGATCCTTATTGAGAAAACGGGAGCTTTCATTCAATTGATTATTGTTTTAATTTGAGTGCATTTGATTTGACTTTATAGGCAGCAGAAAAACTTAGAAATCTCTCAGAAATTCACTACAAGGTATACAACTGAACACAAGGGCAACTTAATTTAAAGTCTGTTGAAATGGCTTTCAGTTCCTGAATTGCAATCATGGTCAAACAATAGTTGCTCAAGCTATGTAGCTTGTTAATACTTAAAGGAATACAATGATATAATATAAACTAGCAGAGATAAAATATGTTTCAACATGGAAAGTAATGTTGATCAATACCAGTAATAATATATACATGTAGCCTGATAATGGATTAGATTGATTGTGAACTAAAAAATCAGTACACACTTTTCCTTCATTTTCGCAATGACTGACAATAGAGGGATTTGTACGTAATATATCAAACATGAGAAGTGTTTCATCGGCTATCCAAACACCTCATATTTCGTAAAAAATACTCCACTACACGTCCTATCTTCAACTCTGTTCTCAGAGTTTGGATATCCCAATGAAAGGCTCTCTCTCATGTTTGATATATTACATACAAAACCCTCTATTTCAATTGTTGCATAACCCGAGTATTATCTGTACCAAATGTATGTACAAGGGAAGCTCATTTGCGAGCTTGGGCTACAACCATTCTCAGTGAAAAAATATAACCTTCAGCCTGCAGATTGATAACACCTACTTCTGCCTTGATTAGTCATTAAAAGCTAACTGTATGAGTGAATGATTAATTATTAAGGATTTACATCATGAGCGATATTTGGAAGACTCTCAAAATAGCCCTTTTCATGATTAGCTATTTCTCATTTGCATTACAATGTAAATCGATGTGGATGCGAAGTAATTTGGGATTGAAACTATAAAATTGCCTCATAAACATATTGGATTATATTGTAATGCTAATGAAAAAAGTAAACAATGAAAAGGGCGTGAGCCTTTGGGAAATAATTTTCAAGTATAACATGGTGCAAATCTGCAATAAATAATTATATTACTGTTCAAGCTATCAAATGATTTTCTATTTTATTTGTTTGACTGTTTTAACACATTAACACATGCATTTTTTTTTATTCTACAGAATAAATAAGTAACTGAAAACAAGAATGCCACTTGAAGAATTGGTCCACAAACTAATGGTCACTGATCCAGCATATCCACCAAGGCATCATGACCTGATTGGCCACAAGCAACAGAGTTGCACTAGAACTCTGGACACAATTACACGTTATAGGGCAGGCTTTTTTTTTCAATTAAATGATATAATTATATTATAGAGTTAGATTTTCAAAGCAAAGGGTTTGGTAGGATTCAATTAAAATTATCTTCAGGTTAATCTGAGGGACTGTGCTTAATTTGTCTGAAAAGGCTCTGTCCAAAAATGTAGCACATAGAAATGACATTTAGGACACTTGTGAAAAAGAAAATGACTAAAAGAATAAAAACAGTTTGCAAGATTCTTAACCTTAAGGAAGAAGCAACAAGTTTATTACAATGAATTATTTAAAAAAACAACAAAAAAATTAAATCATTTTATCGTCAAAATCACAGTTTTTTAAAATGATATTTTTCTGGAAAAAGCAAGCACATGCATTTTAAGATTTTCTTAATAATTATTTAATGCTACAATTCATAATAATTAGTATTAATATTTTGTTTTCTACTTTGTGAGACATTGAGTAGAACTTCCCACTTCTAGGCACTTCTAATTAGTGCACATAGTAAAAACCAATTTGTTCAATCTGTACATCCAAGTCAAAGCAGGTTTGGGATCCTGTGGAAAGGCCACCTTTTCCTAGTTCCAAGGCCCTTTTGGCTGGACGAATATCAAGCCTACATCTTAACAGTACAGAGAAGTCAAGCCCTGCAACATCCATAAAGAAGATCAAGGCCTAGTTTTCTCCTAGTACTTGTAAATGGGGGATTTATTAGATTACTAGTTATTACTGATTTGTAAAGAAGCTGTAGAGGAGGGTCTATGTCTCACTTAATGATTCGAAGTAATTAGCCTTCTTGACTGTCTAAGTGGTGTAATTAGTTAATTAATATTTTATTAAATGATAGAAATAGCATCAACAGAAAACTCAGGGAAAAAATGGGAGTTCCAGAAGGGATTTGAACCCATGACCATACATGATCTAACCAGATGCTCTAACCACTGAGCTACTGGAGACTCTATGGAGAGCAAGGGTGAAACATTTTATTCTATTTGATATTATTACTGAAGAAAATGTCTCCTGCATGCTCAACAAAATTCACATTCCCACAGACACACATGGGCATTGTGGACGAAATAATGAATCCATCATTCCAAGCAGAGAATAAAACAAGAACTTTAAGGGTTAAGGTTGTTAATTTATTTCATGACATAGATACCACCACAAACAGGAAAGGCTACACGGCACTACTTTCAAAAAATTCCGATCTCAAGGGGTGGAGTTCATGACTGACAGTAAAGCTAGTAAAGCTTTCCATGACTTTCTGATAACTGCACAAAGGTAGAGCTGTGCAAAGGAGTAACATGACATGCATACCACAGTATCCCACACTTGTGAAAACCAAGGGTAGCAGCTCTTACAGTCTTTGCACCCATGTATCACACTGCTCAATGTATCACAAATATAGTTTTACAAAAGAAAAAGGTTTTTCCAAGCTTTTTAAGCCAGGTAGGTTCTTGTACATCTTGCCATGGTTCAAAGGGTCTCTTATGTTACACAGTACAAAATATACATTGTGACAGAGGTCCAGCCCTTAGTCACATGTATCACGTCTCTTCATTCCCCGAGTCTTCACTATAATCCATGCAGTCATCGTCATCATCGTCATCATCCACATCATCGGCATAGTCATCATCATAGAAATCTGTTAAGTCCTCAGGTTCAGATCGTGAGGGTCTAGATTTTACACAGTATTCATCGACAGTTGTTGGTACTTTTATGTTTTCTTTTTCGGCCTCCAGTTTGGAACGTTGAACTTGTTTTCTGCAAATATTAAACCATTAAATTATTAAATACTGTGTGTGTCACCTCTTCAAAAAGTGCTCACTCTTGTAAGCAGGCAGCTCTACTAACCACCATTTGAACTCTGTATTTACTCATTCTCATAAGCAGACATAATTTCCCATTCAAATCCGTTGAGGGCTTAGGATTTATACTTTTCCTTTGTTTTTACCAGTAAGCTTCCATAAGCAGACGCCTGAAAGGAATTGGGCCTAACTATGTATCACTGCTTTTTGTTGCAGTGAGACTGTTTATGTTGCTTGCAATTATGATTTTTTTTATCTTTTTAAATCAGTATGGAGCAGTCCTATTATTGTAGTCTACATACTAGTTGTGCAATGCATAATGCTAACTAGTGCGTTTGTTCTCAAGCCTCTGTTCTTGCTTATGTAGCATATGCTTGTGCTGAGGTATTTTTACACTTCAATTCCCAGTGGAAACCAATATCCAACTTACTTAACAACTTTTTCATAATCGCTATCCTTTCCTTTACTCTCTCTCCATTTTCTAAACATCACAGAGGCATCCACATTTGCAGGAGAAAATGTGTTTGGTTCATTTAACAAGGAAATGACACTCAACAGTATTGTTCTGTGAAGATATAAATGTAACCTTTATTTTAACATTAGACTATTAGAATCTTCGTAAAAAAAAGCAACTTACATTGTTTAACAATATATGTTTCTTTACCATACCCAATTCACAATTAGCCAATCAGAAGCTGTGTCTACTGTCCTGATATCCTGTGACATCAAGTCACTGACCTTATATGGCTATGATGTCATGCTCACTTGGCCTGATAAGCCACAAAGCATGCCAAAAAGGTATGATTAGGTATATATAGCATGGAAGCCAAGCAAATATATTAATCAGATTAAGTGAAGAGAAAGACAAAATAACTTTCAAGGAGAGCCTGATTTAAAGTTACCGTATACCCTTAGAGGTGTCTCATGTCCAAGCGATGTAGTGCATCCGGTTTAAACTGTAGATACCTAACCCCATATCGAATTAAAGCTTATAACGCTGGCTATCAAACTATACCAAGAAGTCTGAAATAACATGAATTGTCAAAAGGGACCCAAAGGATGATTTGGATGCTCACATTTAAAGGTCGTGAAAAATTCAACAATTCATTTTATGTTAAAGTTCCTGCTATTGTGTAATAGCCAGCTCTTTAAGCTTTAATTTGATATGGAGTTAGGTATCTACAGTTTAAACCGGACGCACTACATTCTTTGGATGCAAGACACCTCAGTCTACAGGTGCACTGAAGGTAACGTATATGGTAAGTAAACCTTAACACTGTTTAAAATCACCTCAGTATACAAGCAAACTAATCTTTGATACTGGTCTGTACTGTACTTCTGAAATATGAACTTTTTAGTGCAGTTATACTTGCTTGCAGCTCCTGTTTCCAGATTCCAAATTTAAAACATTTTTCCTTGTACAATTTATTACTAGAATCAAGAATTGTTCAAAGATTCACTTACACCTTTTTTAAAATCTAATTGCTCACTTTTGTAAATCGTCGTCATTTTAAGCTTTGTACTTACTCAACATAATTTAGCACACCCAAATTAAATTTGGGATGGAGCTATACTATAACTAAAGATGAAAGTAAAGAAGTGACTATTAGCTGTGACTATTTTTGAATCTTAGAAGATAGTTAGAACTAAAATTAGTTTTACTACGATCAAAACGAAGCTTCAACCAAGTCAAAAACAAGAACAATATCATCATACCATGCTTCACCCTAGCTTTTCCGCATTCTGGCAACACATATATTGGAGCAAGAGCAAAAAATTGACGAGGCAGGGGATGGTGGGGCGAGCGAGGGAACGCTTGCCCGCAAACCCCTTGATTTTGAAAAACGCCCACTGGTTTTCACCATTGAGTTCATTTATTGAATGACAACTTGTCACCAAGCACTAAAATTATATTTTTGAGAGGTGCCAGAATAGCACTAACAATAAAATACCCCCAATTGTTCAGAAATAAGGAAAGAAATGCTTTCTGTTTGTTCATAGTGTAGAAAGATTTGACTGCAAGCTTTTTTATAGTGCTATCTACATACTCGTTTGGAGGGCAACATCAAATTCAAATGTTCGGCTTAAGGCCAGCTTTTCCTATGGTTTAACTTCAACCATTCATTGGCTTGACGGTTATTTCATTCTCTTGCTGCTAGAAAATTAAAAATATTTAACTGTTGAATTATAGAACCAACCAGAAATCACAAGCCTTTCTTTGAAAATTGTCAGTGCGAGTAAATTCACTTTTGTAAGGAAAACAACAACCAGTCACTGGCTTCTAAATTTCGGTCTGGCATTATCTGGGCACAAAAATCGACTCAGTAAAGCTAAGCGAGGTTGCAAAATAAGACTTTCAAAGATTGGTTCTCCTTCCCTGGTTCCTGTTTGATCTTCAAGCACATTCGATCAATTGAAACAGCAGCTGGAAGATTTTAAAAGCTTTTGTCGAATCCAGCGGTAATACAGCCACCAAGTCTTTACCCTCTAACAGATGGTGTCTTCTGAGTAAAATTGAATACCATTCACCTCAAGTCTAATAAATCTTCACTGAGGCTAGCACAATTTCTCAAACCTTCCACCACAGCATTGTGCAAGTCACACTTGAGTTAATTCCTGAAAACGTTCAAGCGAATTGGATACACTTGTCAATCGTGATGACGATGCCACACCAATCAGGAACCCCATACTTGGGCAGACGGGTTTTCAAAATCAAGAGGTTTGCGGGCAAGCATTCTCCCACTCTCGCCCCACCACCCTCTGCTTCGTCAATTTTTTGCTTTCACTCCAATTTACACACAGCCAGAATGCGGAAGAACTCTTTGTATGGGAATGCTCGCTATGCTTCTGCTGTGTACAACAAGTGTCAATCTGATTATTAGTGGAATGTGAATTATTAATTGCTCCTGAATTTCCCCACAAATGAGGGGTTTGGTAAAAAAACCTAAGCTTCACAGAACACAACATCAATTTTGGTTATTTCCTCTACCAGTGTCCTGTCTTCAATCAGAGAATTAATTCAGTTTTTTTCCTATTTCTTGCCATTGTAAGTGGATTTGTTTTAAAACTGGTTAATGCTCTAAGCTGCATTAATTCATCAAGTTACATGCCAAGCACACACTGCTACAGTATTGACCACTTTATGCTTCACAGGAATCAAAGGTAATCAGGGTTTAAATGATTTGGAATCCAGTGTTTAACGTCCAATGTCCAAATACAGTGTCCAATGTCCAGTGTCAAATAATATCCATAACACTGGCTCACTAATAAATTACATGCAAAAATCAAAGATATTTGACAGGATAAAAATTCAAATGGCCAAATTTGAAGGATGTTTATGAATGCAGTGGTTTATGTTTCCATTTTTCACATGTCTCTTTATCCATACTCATCAAGAACTACAATTTTGTTTCAATACATGAAAGCGTGAAGAAAAAAATCTGGAAAATACCACTGCATGGTCCTACATCAAACATGTTCCCCCAATTACCAGTGACTGCTGATTAAACACAATTTTTTTAAAGATAATTTTTAAATCTAAAGTTTTCTCACCCTTTGGAAACAAATACAGTAGTAATTAAAGCTATGATTTATTTCCTAATAATTTTGTACTGCCTAGATCTAGTCAGTCACAAGGATTTCTGTTTTAGCATCCAAGGTTTACAATACACAATTATCATGTTATTAATTGCAAGCAAATTTGGAAAGCATTAAAATATTTGTCACAGCCTATTAGAGGAATATCATTTTTGGCTCAGAACTTAATTTTAGAGCGGTAGGTGCAACATTCTGTCAAACTGTACAATACACTACCGGCAACCTGCAGAATTAATAAAAATTCAGAACCGGTGTTTATTCAGAAACTTTAATGTTGATATACATATCTGCTCCTACGATCCAACTGAGATTGGTTTTATTTCAGTGATTTGTGATAGATACATCTTTAAGCTTATACTAAATGTACAATCGCTAAGAAGAACTTGTGCGTAATTCATTGGGCTGAAAATGCAAACCAGAACGACCACAATACATGCAAAAACCTAACCACGTTTTGACAGTGTGACAAGAAAACATGCCGACAAATAAACACACCAGAGCATAGAATTATCATTCAAGCGTCCAAAACACAAAACCTTGACAGTCTCCCTTTGATAGACAAGCTGAAAAACACTTTCTGGCATAAAAGCAAGCAAAATAACATTCGAGATATCAAGAAGAAATCCAATATAAGTCGTATGCTTTAACGTATGTACATTTCTTGTACCAAAAATAATATGGCGTTTGGTTTGTGACGGTATTACAATCTAGTTGAAAGCTATTTCTGTATGTAACGGATACCTTCTTGAACACTAGAAAGCCTAAGTCTTTTTCAGTAAAAGAAAAACTGACTGGAAGGCTATTTTATACGTACCTGACATTTTGTGTCGGGTTCCATCGCTCGGAAGGTAATTCACCACTTTGCGGATCGTCAACCGGGGGATGTAGAATTGAAATACACACATCACCGGACTAAAGAATCGAGAATAAATCATCAGCCGCTCAATAAAAATTACAAGAGTAAAATACGTAGAAAAGAATTGCAACCGGCTTAAGATCTATCTTACCTCGTATATATTAGGATGCCACATTTTCGTGAGAAAGCGAAACGTTGGTGGTGAGTATGGGTAGCCAGGAGGGAAGGACATGTGTGCCTGTAGCGAAAATGAGGCATGTCAAAAAAAACTTAGCAACGCTTGCTTTCCAAAACAAGAAATTCTGCTCTGTTAGATTACAGACTTACCTTAAAGTAACCACCCTCGTAAAGAGTACCTGGAGGACCAAAAATCGCTACGTCCCATTCGAATAAGTTGCTCTCATCTGGCACATTGACGACGAATCCTTCGACTGGTTCCTCGGTAAGTTTCTTTAGCTCCAGCTGTAACGCTCGCACAGCCGATGAAGGTGGTTGAGCGGCCATTTACTTTATACTCTTCTTTTCAATGATCACGGCTTTTCGACTTGAATAAGCCTAAATTTCAACAATAAATAGGTAAACTTTTTCACATTGAGATCACCAACTCTTTCACCAAAAGAAGTTTTGTTGTGTATTTACTAGTCCCAAGCTCTCACTCTCAATTATACGTCACAGAAAACGTCCAAATATGGTAAAGCAAATAAATGACCGGAAGCTAACAAACCGGAAGTGTGTTAGAAATAATCAGCTGGAAAGAGCTAGAGATAGCCATGATACTCCTCGGTGAAAAGAAACTGTCATTACAGAATTTTTCTTTTCTAATTCATACACCCTGGCCTTGAAAAGAGGCTGAAACGCGCACGAGGCAGTATTATTTTGAGGACAGTGATGCTTGGTGCCATGCCGCAACCATTTGCGAAGAGTGACGTCAAATTAAATTTCTCTTTCGGGACAAATTTAGCACCTGTACTGGATAAAAATACATGAACAACCAGAATATAAACCTGTTTCTTTTTTTTTT